TGGTGTGGTCTGACTCGCTCCCGCTGCCGCCTGACTTGGACTCCCCGGTCTTCTCTCTCTCCTTCCTCCTCTCACTGCCACTGCGATTGGAACCGCTGCTCCGGCTCCCTGCAAAGAGCATGAGACAAGGTTAGGTGACAACCCAAGACAAGCCAGGAAGAAAGGATGCTCCTCTAGCCAAGAGAGGACTGCAGCACCTGCAGCACAGCCATCCACCAGCACAGTCCGTGCTCTGTCTCCTTTCAACTCTGAGTCCCACAATTCTTCTGAGGTAGCTTTTGCCCCTGCTCCCCCCACACATAGAGCCTTGCCTAAGCAGCCTTTTCCTGCTGCTTCCCTGTACTGAACAGGGCATCTGCCCACCTGCAGGCATATTTTAGTCCTCTTTACCCACCTTCACTGTGCTGGCTGCCTGCACTGCCCCCTCCGTAGCTGTAGCCTGGGTCAGGGAAGCCGGGGTGGGGGTTGTATGGATGAGGTGGCGGATACTGATATGGGAAAGCCATAGGCCAGGGTGCGGCTCCTGGGTGGGGTAGCGGAGCCAAAGTGTCCTGATCGGAGGCACCACTGGAGCCATCGTGATCGTGAAGAGACAGATTAGCCATGTCTGCAAGAAAACGGAGAAGAGGGGTTAACCCAAGTGGAAAGACAGTCACATGTGATGAAGAAGCTCCTTGTCCACCCTTGCTGATGGATAAAGATGGAGTACACAAGGAGATGCAAGAAGCTGGCAGTCTCCCTGCTAGTCAATGCAACCATTTGTGCTTCCTGCCTAGACAACAGCCAAGCTGTGTGAGTCCAAGCTGCCACTCTAGTAGAGAGACCAGCTTGGTGGGAAAGGACCACATCAGAGCCACAGCTCACCCTGCCAATTACTTCCCCCATCCCTCTTAATTGAGCAGAACCCAGTTGTCTGAGCACCACCCCCTTGACAGAAAGTTCAGAGCCTGTAGACAAAGTCGGTAAAGACTAAGACTCTGCAATGGCTGCCCAGGAGAAAAGATCACATAGTAGGTGACACTGGCATCTTCCAACTTCACCATGCCAGCAGCATGACAAGGGAGCTGGGATGTTCTTCCTCACTCTCTAACAGGGTCTTTGGAACAAGGGGCCCAGCCTGTTGGCAATGGTGGTACCTACAGTGTTAGCAGAGCTCTGCAGGACCTCAACCCCTCTCCATCCTCTCCCTGCCACCCACGCCAAGTGCCTTACTTCCACAGAGGTCCCCGAAGATGTAATAGCACTGCTCCGAGAAGGTGATCTTGTTCACGGTGTGTCGGATGTAGCCGGCCTTCAGCAGATTGCTGGCGTATTTGCGAGATTCACGACGGTCTGTAAAGCCCTCCACATGGTGATAGAGCCAATCCACCACATCCGAACCTGCCACCAAGCATCCAAATTAAATACAGCAAGAGAGAGGAAGACAGCAGCCCTTGAGGTAGTGGGCCACACTGCAGCTAATACAAAATGGGCCAAAAAGTGAAAAGGGACTGCACAGCCAAAGGTTTGATTTGTGACTCTGGCCTGGTCAACAGTTAGTTTATGGTGACAGAGATGCTCCCTTGAGCATCTGCTTGGAAAAGAGGCCACCCATTCCCCAGTCCCTGCCTCTGCTGCAGGCAGCACAGTCTCTTACCAATGAAGGCATTGGGGATGGTGATCTTCAGCCACATGCGGTCACGCACTTCCAGGCCTGACTCTGGTGAGGCCATGGCTTTGACAATGGTGGCCATGTCGCTGTGGATGGACAGGTGAAAGTCATCGAGACCTGTGGTGTGGATGAAGGAAAGGAGGCAGAGATAAGAGGGGACAGAAAAGACAATAGGGCCACATTGAAGCATCACACACAGGAGGAATGGGCCAGGGAACAATACATCGCAGGCAGCCTTGGGGTGCACGCTGTGTAACCCCCCCTTCCAGCCTTATGATGCTATCCTTCACACGTTGGCCATTTCCTCTTGTGCAAAACCCAGGCTAGAGTCTCCTTCCTTCCAGCCAGTCCCAAGCAGCTGAGATCCAAAAGCTGCCAACTGATCCCACACAGCCCAGCAAGAGAATTCTCTGATCCTCACAAACTTAAACCAAACTCCTGGCTCTTTGCCCCACCCGAGCTCTCCAAACCTTTGCTTCAGGACTCTGTATACTAGAATCGCCCAAAACCTTCAGAAAACAACCAAAAGAACCCTGTGCTCAGCAGAAACCTGCCCCACTGCACAGCTCTTTGCTCCCAGCTGCCTCCTCCATCCTATTCTACCTGCTGTTTGGGAGAGCAATTGCTCCAGGGACAAGTTAAATCCGTTTGGCCCCACACTCTCAGCTGGTAACCCCTGACTGCCCCGAGCCTTTCCTCTGCACCTGCCACAGCTGCTGGACTGCACCCAGGTTCTTCTACTCTCCTTATGTAGAAGGCTGAAAAATGAGGTATTAAATGACGCAGGCAGAACTCCCACTGATCCAAGCACCTGCTTGGTGAGAGCTGCCTCCCTCCTAGTCCCTTGGCAGGGCAGAGCTTGCCCGTCCCAGCTGTCCCCACGCAGATGTATTGCTCCCTTTACAGCACAGTGAAGGTGAGGAAGCCGTGCAGCGGGCCGAGCACGGAGGCACAAGGACTTACGTTCGGTCTCTGGGATGGAGCTGGTGATGGAGGAGCTGGTGGAAGTGATTGTGCTCATGGATGGACTCATACCGTACGCTGGGTAGGTGCCAGTCATCGCTGCCGTGTGAGACACCCAGGCTGCCGGGTCGATGGGCCGGATGGGCTCACCTGCAGTGAAAAAGAAAAAAAAAGAAAAGAGTCAGTCAGTAGCTGTAAGAAATTATCCCCTCATCAAATCAACCTCTGGGGAGGGACAGGGACTCAGCGCAGCCCATTCCATCCCCAGTATCTGCCGGGACTCACCCGGATCGGAGCATGGAGAGTCTGGCCCAGCCCAGATCCGCTGGGGAGCAACTGGGAGAGAAAGAAGAGAGGGAGGGTCAGCAGGAGAGGTGCAGAGGGAGAGATCCCCCTATGACTCAAGGAGGGGTTTCTCTTTCCTCTGGCGCCCCGAGCAAGTGACCCCCCTACCCCAGTGAAACGCGTCCCCAGCGTGATGTGGGAAGGAGGGCTGGGCTTTGGGGCATTTTGGCTTGGGAATAGGACATAGCAGCCTCCTAACAGGAGAGCTGAAACCCCATCAAACCCCAATTCAGTGTCACATGGAGTCAAACACACAGGGGAGGAACAAGACAACAACCAAGTAAGTGCTTAAGGCAGGGCTCTCACATGAGCTGGGCACCAGCGTTAAGGGTGGGTCAGCTATCCACTTACTCCTGGGTAACGAGAAGCAGCCCCGGGGGCTGGGGTCCCAGCATTTGGCCACCGTCAGGGTGATGGGCCTGCAACAAAAAGGCAAGAGTTAAAACAAGAGCCCAGTGGCAAATCCCCGTGTGATGGGTGGATGCTGTATGCTGGCTCTCTCCTGCAAGACAGAGAGAAGCTGCCAGTAAAGTGCCCTTGTCCCCCTTCAGCTATGGATTTCCTTAGCGGCACGGAGAAAACCCTGCAGAGGGTTGCTGATGACACAGCATCCCCTACCAAAAAGGGGCAGACCCTAACTCACCACCATTCTGTTGGCTGCAATTTTTGCTTTGGGCATGAAAACCCAGAAATCAAAGCAACACCAAAAACATAAGTTCTGAGCTTCTGCAGAGCCACTGGCAAAGGTGGCTCAAAGACACAACTCACGCACCCCAAGCACACACCATCCCGCTGCCCATGGAGTTCAGAAACAACCTGAGTACCTACCCCGGCTTGTGCACAATCTCCCTCAGCACCCGCACAGCATCATCGTTGCTCATGTTCTCAAAGTTGATGTCATTTACCTGCAAACAACACAAAGAGGTGAGTCCCAAAGATGTGACCAGAGGCTGAGCTCCCCACTCCGCTCAGCAGTGACTCAGCTTCCCTCTTTCAAGCGTAGCTTCCTGGGTTTAGCCTGCCAAAGTGCACAGGGAGGCTTCTGGGTCTTTTCTTACTGCTTTCCCAAGCCCAAAGATGGAGGTACGTGGGCGTCAAGTACCTGCAAGAGCATGTCACCCGGCTCAATCCTGCCATCAGCTGCCACAGCGCCACCCTTCATGATGGAGCCAATGTAAATGCCTCCATCCCCACGCTCATTGCTCTGTCCCACAATGGAAATGCCCAGGAAGTTGTATTTCTCTGCAGGGATGGAAAGAGAAAGAAGTAAGACACCATAAAGCAGCAGGCACAAGCAGCCCTAACCTCACACAAACCACGTGCCAATGATGGTTGCATGCACCCCTGTCCCAGAGATGTACTGGGATGCAGAGAAACTCTTGAGAGACCAGTGCTTCAAGACAAGCCACTTTCCTACAGAATCCACCCCCTCACTCCTCCCCACAAGTGCTCTCTCTGCCCCTCCACCACCCAACCTCGCTCTGGAAGAACTGCAGGCGCCATGCACACCCCCGACTCACCCATGTTCAGCGTGACCGTGATGATGTTCAGGGACATGGTGGAGTCTGTGATGCTGCTGAAGGACGATGACTGCAACATAAGTGAAACATGAGATGTCCTCCCGTGCCTCAGTTAACAGTCCCAGCCCCAGCTCCCTCCACTTGTGCTCCTTGCCACTCCCCGTGGCACCACAGCCACCACCCACAACTCCAGCCTTAAGCTGGGAGCTTGGCAGAGCCAGAGGGGATCAGACACAGCCAGGACAGGGTCTGTGGTCCCTCCTCTTGGGGCTACATTGGCGTGGGAAGGGTTTACAGTGCTTTATGAAGTCTTAGCACTTGGACACCACCTGCCCCAGCTGTGCCCACAGCAAGCACAGCTGAATCCCTGATCAGCCCTGGAGCACTGAGTGGGGAGATCCACCAGGCAGCCCACCTTGCCCTGCGTTGCCCTCCCCAGGATACCCAGCCCCTGGGTACCCGCTCAATGCGCGGAGCCTTCTGTTTCCGCCGGCGCCGCTTGTGCCTCCTCATCAGACGGGAAGCACTGCTTTGCTCTGTCGAACTGCTAAACCTAGAGGCAAAAGCAAGAGTCAGCTCTTCTGCTGTCAGGTTGGTGGCTCTGGAAGCAAGAGTGCCACAGAACGGGCACAGGGAATATAAGATTGCAGGGCCAGAGGGGCAGAACATGTGTGCGGGGGACAGACAATAGCAGAGGGGGCTGCTGGGTGAGGCTTGAGACAGCAGCAGGTCCGAGCAAGGACGCTGGAGCCCAGGATTACTGTGCCCTGCAAAGGCATCTCTCTGTGATGGGAGGCAGTGAGAAGCTAGTGTTCCTCTAGGACCTAAGCTCTCCTACCTGCTGGTGGAGTCATCTTCATCTGAATCGAAGAAGCTGGTGGTCTCCAGCTCACTGCTCATGAGCGTGGAGGAGCTTTCGTACCCGCCCAGGTCTCGGCGCCGCTCTCCCTTCACTGTCCCATTCACCCTGGGTGCTATGAAAAGACAAGACTCAGTGTGTTTTGAGACAGGCCACAAGGAAACAACCCCTTCCCCTACGCAGGGCTCACAGCAACCTTCTCAGATTGAAACTGGCCACCTAGTGCCAGTTGGCTCTGAATCCACTCTAGGATCAGATCCATCCTCTGTGGGTTACCTCTTCTGTCAGTGCAGGATGGGGGAGAGGCTGATGAGCCACTAGGAACAATGCTGCTGAACTCATAGGAGATCTGCAGCTGGTTCCTTGGCAGAGCCAGGAGCAGCACAGAGTGGTGAGGCTACAGCCCATTCTGTTTTTCAACTAAGAAGGACTGTGACACTGCTATCTCCTGTTCTTGAGGCTTCTACAGGAGACAGCTCTGCCCCCAGGGGTTTCAACACCAAGCTTTGATGCAACACTGCTGTTAGCTCCTGCCTCCAACGTGAGGCTATGGCCTCAGATCACTGAACAGCCCTTTCTAAGCTGGGATGGTTCTGCACGGCAGGGAGAGCTGCCCCATGTCTGGAGCTGGTGTCCCAACCATGCCCCAGCCCCAGCCTGCAGAGCTCTTGCCGTGTTACCAACACTCACCATGCTCAGGCCCATCTTTCCGACGAGGTCGTTCCCTTTGCGATGACACCACCGAGTCTGTCTCTGTCTCATTGTCCAAGTTTTCCCGACTCCCCCCAGTGTTAGGGCTGTGATGAGACAAAAGGAACCAGTAAGTCCAACAGGGAACAACTTAAGCAGGCTCTCTCTACCTCTGTGCTGGCCAGCATGAGCCTCCAGCCATCAGCTGTCTGTCTCCTTGAGGGACAGGAGCAGAGGCGGTGTCGAACAACCACAGCACATCTGTCAGTGCAGGGCAAGGGACTGGGGGAAGCTGTGCCAGCTCTTTGCCAACTTCCTTGCGCTATTTTCAGCATGCCCTTGCTTGCTGAATAATGCAGCTCCACTTCAAATCTGCTCCCAGCCCCATCCTCCTCCCCTCTAGCTGGCTGTGATCCCTGCCAATTTGGGTAGGAGTGTCCCAGCCCCTGGTCTGGATTTACAGCAAAGTCACTGTGGGTCACTCGGAAACCAGGATAAGTGTCCAGGTAACTTACTGGAAAGAGGGAGGTCTGGAGTCTCCAATTCCTCCTGTGCGCTCCATGGAGGGTGGCAGCTCTGTTTGGTTATCGGCACAGACCGAGCCAGCATCCGAATGGGAACCCTCTGCAGACACCAGCTGGAGGGTGGACGAGAGACAGAGAATTAAATGGCTGAGGCACTGGGAAAACGTTTACAAGAGTGGCCAAACGAGCTGGCCAAAAGCCTGCCTGGCCCAGGATCTCATCGCTGACGGTGGACAACAGCAAATGCCCAGGAGCGGGTATGGAACAGGCCAAGCATGTAGCAACATTCCACCTCAGCGCCTTCCCAGGCGCCAGCTATGTGTGGCTCAGGAATTCCTGACCCAGTAGTGAAGTCAAGGTGGCTGACAGCCCTGCTTGGAGACTCTGACATCATCTGCACACCCATGACACACAATTTTTACACTCAGGTAATCTTTACCACATGTCCTATAACAAGGAGTGGATTCCCCTAGTTGTTCTTCTATCAGAGGAGGCAGCTACCAGTCATTCCTTTTCTCATTTTTACCAGCCTCCACTCCTCTGCCTTCAAACTGTGGGACCCAGCAGGACTTTCACCTTCCCAGTCCCCCAGGAAGCTGAGGGTAACAGAGCTCAGGGCTGAAGATGACTCTGAAATAGACTCCAACATGCTCTTTTTCTGGCTTCCACACGTACTTTGCAAACTTTCAGGTTGCACCCAGCTAATTGGCTTGAGCAGAACCTCCAACCAACCTCTGGGAGGTTCAACAGCTTCCCCAGTGCAGAAATTCAAGAAAGGGTCAAACCCCAGGAACTCTTTACACCAGCCGTGCTTTGGGGCAGCCCAGGCACACCTACATCTGCCTCTGACTCTAAGACAAACCACCAATTTCAGGGCTCAGGGAATGAGGTGGAGTCTATCCCGGGAGGAACAGGCTTGCCAGTGGGATGAAACAGGATAGCTCAAGTTAGCTCAATGGAAAGTGTTTTCCCCAACGCTGCTCCCTACCCAGGTTTGTGCTCTCCCCACTTCCAAGTTGCACTGAGCAGGGATAATCCCAATAGGGCTGGGCAGGAAAACAACAAGAAGCCTTTTCCTTGTAAGAGACATTCAGGGACTCCCAGAGCAGAAGTGAGAGGGTCCAGGAAGGAACCCATCTTGGCCAGGGAATGAGTCCCCAGGGTCAGGCTGGAGCTCATGAGCAAGGGAAGACCAATTTCCATCTTTAAGGACCTTCCAATGTGCTTTTCACATCTGCCTCATGCTTGTGCCCTGCATGGCACAGGCAAGCAGGGGGGTGGGCTCTCTCCCAGTGCCGGGGAGGGACTGCAGGGCCCAGAATCTTGATCTGCCCCAGACAAAAGCAGCTGTGTGTCAGCCTAGAGCCAGTCCAGGGAGGTGAGGAGACCAGAACAGGGGTTAAGCCTCAGCCTGTGTACCTGAACCAACTGCCAAGCCATCAGCCATCTCAGGAGAGGCCTGATCTAACAGAGCTGAGGGATAACCCACTGTGGGTGAGGGCAGAAAGACCATGAAACATGGACTGGAAAGGAGCTGATAGCTGCTGCCAAAACCATAACGCCCAGGGTAAACGTAGAGACAGCTACGCTGCTTGCTGGTGAGGGGACCACATCTGCAAGGAGGTAGGAGCAGATGCCAACCCAGGTGCTGCAGGCACAGCCCATCTGCATAGCTCTTGAGTGCTTCCCAGCATCACTGAAACACAGAGATATGCCCTGCCCAGCTTTAAGAACTGGGGAAACCACAATAAAGGGAGGGACGGACCTCACAGATCACCATCAGGGCAGGGGGAGAGGTCTGCTGCCAGGGAGGCACTGAGAACAGACAGGGATGCAGCCAGGGCAAGGAAGACAGAACAGTCCCCAAAAAGCTGCAACCAAGGCAGCAGACAGGGCAGAGAGCACCCCAGGGTGTCAAAAGCTGCAGAGCCCGTCCCACAAGCCCCAGGACAAGCCCAACGGCTCCTGTTCATGCAACTGTCTAACCAGCTCTTGTCTCACAGTTGGCTCAGCTTCCCACCCTCCAGCAAGCCCCAGACATATGGCCAGCTCTGCTTCGGGCACCTTCCCTGTGACTTGTCTTCCCAGGACACAGCCCACTCCCTGAGGGCCACATCCCTGCTCTGGCAGCC